TCTCATAGGTCACAGTTTTTTCATAAAACAAATCCGACATTGATGGATTTAATTGAGGAACAACCCCATTTAAATACCTTTAGTTTTTTGAAAGCAATTAAAATGTATCATAGCATTTAAATTTTAACTACATCTGGTCTTTTAACGTAAACCAACTTTAGACAAGTGTTTTCCACACAGAGAATAATTTTAAACATAGCTTTCAAATTTCTACCATTGCTGTCTTTTTATTTCATACCTTCATTTTGTTGTTATACACAATTATGTCACGCAGTTATACTGTAATTTTGCATAGAAGTACTTTTGTGCGATTCTGGCGATTGTTTCCGTATTTCCACATTTGTATATATAACTCTACGCTTGGCGCATCATAACTGGGATATGCACCAAAACTCATCACCAACACCAACAATTACCTCTGTACAGTTGTTTCTTTTACCCTCTTCATATAAGATTGTTGAAGGCTCTCATTTTATGAGTGTAATTTTTTATATATTATTATTACTATTATATTTTTATTATGGAATGTGCTATAGCAGTTCACAAAGGCCAGTTACCTTATAAACAAGGAACGGAGGCCTTTATATGTAACTGGCTTGATGGATATGTTTGTTTAGAAATACTGCGAAGCTTTCAATTTGTTAAAATCAGAAATTGCAAACGAAAGATAATATCGGTGAATCCAAAATTTCTCAAAATGTTATGTAGATTATATTTATGGTGTAAAATACAATTTATCAATATGGAAATTAGCATCATAAATATTTATCTGTGTTAATTTAATTATAACTAATGATTATCTAAAAAGTTTTTATTTGTGATATTCTGTGATAACAAGAACTTCCCTGAAGAATAATGATTGTGTGAACTCTCAAACAAAAAGACTTTTGGACTGAAATGTTGAAACATTTAATAGGACTCTAAGAATTAAATTTATTCTTAAAAATTGATATTTATAAATTATATTTTACAGCTATTTACTTAATTATTGCCGATCAAAATTTTATGATATACGTTTTACTTCGCTTTCTAGTGCTTTAATACCTTTTCTTTAACCAGGCCTCTCTGTCGCTACGCCTTTTTCTCCTTGAAGGGGGATGAAAGAAAAATAAAGAATATGTAAAAGATTAAATTAGCTGTATAAGCCTGTTGTGATATAAAACAAACTTAGGAGTAATGACTAGCAGGAATTTTAATGGCGTAAAAAATGTTGATCCATAATGAACAAGGATTAAATCGAAGACAGATTAAATCTTCATTTTTTATTTTAGCATCATGTTGCGGCCACAATCAAGCTGGGACATTAATTGTGCCTATACCAAAAAAGTTTACATTTTAGATAAATTTGCAGTAAGATAGCAGGAGCAGACAGACAGCAGCCCAGCTAGGCCAAAGAGTAGAAAGCAAGGCTGAGTTAGTTTTGGTTCTCAATTCATTTTGATTGGACAGTTAATATTTCTGTAAAATTACTATTGGCTGTCTTAGTTTTAGTTCCATTTACATCATCAGAATTACGTAAGACTTACATGACATAGAATAGTCTCGAAATGATGCTGTGCAAATAGAGGTTCCTATTTTTATAATTTATAGAGAAGGAAAATTAATTTACGCAGCAAATTTAATCTTTTACATATTCTTTTTTACTTCCTTGTACGAAGTAAAAAGGAAGTATTTTAATCACAAAAAGTTTCAGGCAGCATATTTCAACTAAAATATCAATTTTGACCGCTATCAAATGCAATTTAACGATGCTTTTGCGTGACATCTGTACGTAAGGACAAAATAAAAGACTCTTTTCCTCTAAAAAAAATTATAAAACTGCTTTAAAATGAATTCTGAAGAGAATTTTTCGTGGTGCCTGCATTTACGTATGTATCTCGCATAACTGAAAAACGAGTAGCCAAATTTTGTATATAGGACTGCTATAACATGTAGATGTGCACCTCGTATTTTTGGTTGCAATCGGCCACACCAAACGTATATATATCCACTCTGTTACCCGGCTCAGTGATCTCAGTTTCTTTACTCTTATATGTTTGTAAATTGTGCATTTTTTACTTTAAAAATGATTGAATTATGTTGTTCTTATCTTTCGGTTAAGGTTTCTATGCCTTTAGGAAATCTGCAAGCAATATTTGTAGAATTATCAACAATTTAAAAGCTGTTTAAATGCGTTTAAGCCTAATCTTTAAATAACATGGCTGGTATGTTTGTATACATTTGAAACAGCAGAATAGTAGATGTTTAGCCTATCTAGAGAGACTAAACTTGCAACAACAAATATAACGCCTTCATTTATTATTGCGAATTAAATCATGCTTAATCCTTTCTGGAATGTTTTCGAGGAAATAACTGTTTAAGATTTAGTTTGTAATTTTTAATATAGACATTTTGAGTTTTTATTTATTTTTGCGTTGTCGCAAAGTGAGAACTGAATTAATTAAACGAGAAGTACTGAATCCTCTGTGAAAAACTATTTCTTTTTTGTTTTGTTTGCTTAATTTCTTTTATGCATCGTTCTATATTTATTATAGTATTTCAATAGAACATGTGGCAACGATTAGATAATTCTCCAAATGATATACGTTTTGTGCACTCTGAGTTAAAATATGAACGAAATATAACGCTGTTAAGTGAACCTGGCGCCAGAGTGTCGCTATGGTAAACAAATATAGTGAATTTTAAAGAGTGCATTTATTGTATTGCATCTTATATGCTATCGACGAAGTATATTTAATTCAATCCAATATGTTTAAATGAAATGCAAGAAAATGCGTTATAATTTAATATTCCGTACAAGCAAATCATGTGGTGTACACATCAGATTTTTTTCTTACATATATATGTATGGATCTTTACATGTATTGACGTTAAGTACTTATACAGTACGGGTTTTTTAAGGAGATATTCAGGCTTTGTAATGTTTGAGCAATTATGCCCTAATACAGCATCTGACATGATGAAACTATTTTTTATTTTCAGAAATAAACGAATTAAAATGTGAAACTCGATACTGAACAATATAGAATTTCTTGATATAACTTGTATTATATTGATAAGCTGTGATAATTTATACGAATGCTATCTATTATTAATAAAATCTGATGTCTAAGGGAAGACCTCCTTTCGGATATTATATTCGTAAATGGTTTTCCCTCTGACGGTTGTTCTAAACCTTAAAAGCCTTAGTTAGGTCTAGAATCATTGCCATTGTATTCCTGGTATATTTCATTTTGGAAATCTTTAATACTCCAATAAAAAATTCGATGGATGATACTGTGTCCACTCTAAATACTATGTTGCTGTTAGAAAGTTAGCTGCTAATTAATTCTTCAAGATAATCATTTTAATCAGCTTACGAGGGATACGAGCATGAGGGAATTTCTTCCCTCAAAATGTATCTTTGATATCTTCAAAGGTAATAACAAATTTATTTCAAAAGAGTTATTTTTTAATAAATTTTGAATTAGCATACAGCATGAGGGGTTTCAAAATGATCTTCACAGCTGTCAACACTCTCATCCTGCTTCACATACATCAATGCTGTTAGATATTTAATTATAAATGTCATCTAGGTTTTATTTACCTTAAATACAAAATATTCTTTCCACTAAAAATAAATATGATAATATTCATGCGACTGGGAGTTGTAAATATATTCTCGACGCTAAAAACCACGGCATTTGCAGCAAGAAAGCAAATAACATCCATGCATAAACTATAAATATAAACCTTTTGATGTGTAGCACTGCCAAGAGAGTACTTTGAAATCCGATAGTTCTGGCATTTCGATGCGAGAAAAGATCAAGAAAGCAGGCGAAAGTCTGGTTTCTCTTGAGTTATTAGAATCATTTTCATGTGAATGGGCAAGAAATGGGAAAAAAAAATATTTAGCTTTCGAAAAGTAGTAGGTACCTGTTTTGGTTGTTTCTATTGAAGATATTCTCGTTGAAATATGCTTCTACTTTAAACAGTGCATATTTTAGAGTATAATACTGATAAATGAAAACTTACAGGCGGGGAAACTATAATACATAAGCTTTTATAAATATAGAAAGAAAATCGGTTTCAACGGTATAATTTAAAAGCAACGTGTATATGGTAATGTATACATATTATTGCGGTAATAAAATATTAGGTATTGTTGTGATTATTCAATATAAAATGTATGCATATGAGAATATAATCTTAGACTTTATACGCGGGGTGTCCAATAAATCTGAGCACTTTTAACTGATTTATTAAATGCATCTGACAGCCAACGGTCGGGCGATACGATTACCTAACACTGTAGATATGTATGTATGAATGAATATATGTTTGGTGAAGGATTCTCAGCACATTTGGCGTCCCAGAAAAAATACACATATCCTAATATTCTTTTAATAACAAAACCGATTTTATCAGTTCCTCTTTTAAGTTAGAAAGAAAGCATTTCTCTCATTTTAAAAGCGGGAAATTTGCCTTCAGCGAAAATTACCTGGATAATAGTTCTCGAATATAATCGTTCAGCATTTTATATTAATTATCTCTAAACTAAAAATTATTTTATCTAACTGTAGGCTTGTTTGAAACACTTTTACAACAATGAATAACTCTTTTAGCAGACGAATTATGGAGTAGGAAAGTTTTATATATTTCACACTTATCTTTCGTATTCTGGTATGTATTCTTGGAGCATTCTGTTCAACTCTTCTGTAAATCATTTACAAATGCTTAAAGATAATTTCGATAGAGGAATAAATTTGCTCAATTCCTCATTTAGATGTGAAAGGGAAGTTTAATCATTACGTCAAAAATGTGAAATATGTTCACAGATTATTGGACATACGGGTGACATACCCGGATAATATCTAAACGTCAGATAACATTCCATTTATTCCCGAACGATTTATGATAATAAAAGTATTCCCTTCAATGTATGATTCTTTTGGTTCATTTCTTTAACTCTGAATATACTACAGATATGTACTTTACAGAATCGTTTAATTTTATTTCAGATTTTACGTGCCTGAAGTTACGAGAGCTTGTCGTCCCAGCGGTGGTGGTGAGAGGAGAATCCGTCTGGTTGAACTGCACATATGATCTGGAGAACGAGAAGCTGTATTCCATCAAGTGGCACAAGAACAACGTGGAATTTTACAGGTACCTGCCTGAAGACAAACCGCCTGGGCAAAAATACGACCTGAACGGAATATTTCTTGATGTAAGTATGCCCTTGTATTATAATAAACATTTGTTTCAGATTTAATTACTTCAGCCCCGCAAAAACGTGCTTTAGCGTAATAACGTGAACAATGGCTACTAACAAGAACATTGAGTCTTTTAAGGCGAAGTAAAATTTCTCGTTAAATGAAAGCTTCATTTATTCATGAAAGTTTAATCATTTTATTGAAAGAATTGATACTTGTTTAATATTACTGTGTGTCACAATGTATGAAATGTATCTAGTCTTCTTCTGTCTTTAGCTTAATGATCACAAATTTCTACACATGACAGTTCTGGAAGCTAATGTAAATCATGGAATCTAAGAACGCCTTCATTAAAATATGTTTTTATAACCGTATCTCAGGTTCTTTCAAGCTAATGAACCGTCGTTTCATAAATGCTCATATAACCAGCAGTTCAGTGTTTGCTCATAAGGTATTCCCATTAATAAGGAATTATCCTTAATCAATAGAACAGCATATATTTCTTGAAATTTTCTTAATCACTATATAAAAAACTGGCATATTTATTTGGGTTCACCCATTCAGAGATTTCAATTTATCTTCTGAGTACCAATATACGAAGTCGTTAATGTGTAACCTTTATCTACTAATATTTCTTCACCACCTTCGTCCATAGATTCATTTTCGCCCTCAATCTGTTGGAACCTCGTTTTCCATTATCTTTGAAAACTTTATTTCATTGTCGTAGCCCAAGCGAAGATGTAACTTTCTGAATAATACTGTTCAGTCACATGTCATTTAGTGCAAAGTTGAAATTAAAACCATTATAAACAGCAACCTTAAAAATAATAAAACTATTACTCTATACTTTTCCACTAAAAGAATGCAGCACAGGTATAAAACGAGGCATAACTGCATAAGATTTATGTCACATTAGGTCTAAAATACATAAGCGTAATAAGTTAATCGAAATAATCTCTAAATTATACCTCCTGATATCCAGACATATGCTGATGTGACTGTACGTAAATTTAATATACTATAAAATTAATATTGTAAAAAGAGGAAGCTTCCAAGCCACTTATTGTTTGATACAAAACTTTTACAAGTAAAATTCTAATAATTAAACAGACCATTTTTTGTAGCAAACTGATTCTTTTTAGCAAAAATATCAGTTTATTGCTACCAATTGCTTACATTTTTTTTGCAAAACTCCAACACAGCAAAGTACAATAGGAAATTACAAAAATAACTACTTTTAATGGAGAACCAAGGACATAAAACTTAATAGCTACGGTCACGAACAGATGACTTGATGGATGTAAGCTCTTTATTCAGTTTATAGAGCAACAAAAAAATTACACATTAGGGTTTCATAAGCTAACCTTTGTTCCGTCTGACTATGTTTGCCATAAATAATTCAAGTCCTTACATCAAGTCGGTTATTAACCCATGCAAAGATACTAATAAAATAGCTTGTTAAAATATATGTAGCACAAATGATAGCTATTGAATACAAGTTTTCTCACAAATAGAAACTAACAGAGTGTTTGTTTGAATCGACAATGGTTTTGCTAGCGCTAACATTGATCTACATAAAAATAACAGGTTAAATATTATTATTTTACTGTATATATTGTGTAATATTTAATTCAGGAGTTTAATGTAAATAATTGGGTAAAATGAGATTATTCTTGAGGAAACTCTTCACTACTTGCCTTAAGAGGAATATTTATGAAATTTCGATCACATTCAAGTGTATATGTAGGAAACCTCGAAACTCCTGAGTAGCTATCTTATTTTCTAAAAGGAAACCGGAACAAATTGCAACTGTTCGGTAGTCTTATTCTTTCGGCCACTTGTAGATCCATAAATATTTAGACAGAAAAGGACAATAAAATGAATATTCTTGTTCATTTTATTACTCTTTAAACTTGAAATGTCGTATGACATTCAAGTACCACTTACGCTAACACACACACACACACATATATATATATATATATTGTATGATCTTAAATTCACTTAGTTCGAAAACAGGTTATTCTAATACTTGCGCAGTTTAATATTTATTTATTAATTATTGTTCATTAAACGGCAGTTGGTTTGTTCTCCTTGAGGAGTCAACTAATTTCCGATCAATATCAATAATTACTTGCTTCTAATTTAATTTCTTTTTCCAATTGAAATTTTGTTATTCATGATTTACTTCAAGTCCCCGTAAAACATTTTTAACAATTTACATTCAAGTTACTTTAAAACAATTTTCGGCATTAAACTTCCTACCTATGCGCTCACTCTTTTTAGATACTTCTACTTAAATTAATATTAGGAGATAATATAATCAATATTTCTTTAGTAAAATATATATATATATATATATATAATTACTTATTTATAGACCTCTGTTCTCATAAATGAAGGAAGATTGAAAGAAAAGATGACATAATCACTTATCTGATTCAATGAATAGAGCTTAAATTTGATTTCAGTTGGAGACTCTTGCTTTATAACCTGACACTTATGAACTCTTTAGGAATTTAGCACTGACAGAAAATTATAGCCGTTCAGAAGACTTACAATCCTGAGTTCTAAACGTCAGAAGTATGGGCTTATGTATCAGAGGTATGGATCATGAAGTATGGGCGTATGTATCAGAAGTATGGGTCATGAAGTATGGGCTTATGTATCAGAAGTATGGGTGTATGGCTCATTATATCTTTATTGCTTCATTAAAATAGCAATAAAATAAACTTCTCAAACTTTTGAGGCAGGTCTTTATTTCAGAAGGATTATACTCGTACCTTTCTGCCTTTCTGAGAATGGTTTGGCAATAACGTGAATTCAACCTTCCGTTTCAAAAGCTAAACTTTCTAATCAATCTCTTAAGCATCTCTAAGTACACTGGTGTGCAAACATTAAGGACGAAGTTGAAAAAATCAGCTTATCAGTGGAACGAAAAGGCAGAGAGGACTGGAAGGCTAATCAGGAGATCTAGTATCGTCAGGTACATTACCACATGCGCATATATGCAGCTAGGTGTATTGGGAGAGTGTTGGAATGGTATAAAAATCGCTGGAGGTGTGAGCTCAGCATTTTGGAGATGCTATTGCACGGCATATATCAGTTTGAGTGACTTCGAGTTCCTGCATCAGAGTGAAATGTCGAACAATAAACCTGTTAGACGACATCTATATGCTTTTACCCGAGGTCGAATCATTGGAAATACGAACGTCGAAGTGTGGCTGGGGAAATCGAGATTGATCACAGAATTGTTTCACGACTTTGGAGAGCATTTTAAACTACAGGAACAGCTATCTGAAGGTTCAGCAGTGGTCGTCCATGAGCAAACCATAGCAGCGGACGACCGGTTATATTGCCCTATAGGCAAGAACGAACATTCACCAAACAGCGGGAGAAATCTCAAGATACATGGTACATTTGCATTTTATCATGGCCAGAAGGCTGCATAATTCTGTACTGTTTGCACGACGACCTGTACGGTATATACTATTAACGCCTGCTCATTAGAGAAGGCGTTTTCTCTGGTGCAGAGAACACCAGAACTGGACAGATAATTAATGAGGTCGAGTACTCTTTAGGGATGAGAGCAGATTTAGACTGAGTTGTGATTCTAGACGCATACACACCTGGAGAGAGCGGGGAACAAGAAATAATCCCTTCAACATCATCAAAAGGGACCGGTTTGGAGGTCACGGAGTTCGTTTTTGGGAGAGACATAATACTTGGTAGCCGTACCGACCTTCACATCTTCCAAGGATATTCAGTCACCGGGGACTGGTATTGTAATGAGTTTGTCTTTCCTTACATGCGTCTTCTCACAGATGTTATGGGTCATCTGTTCCTCCTCATGTTGAATTAAATTGTGAAACTTTACTACAGGTTACTCTAAAGGTTTCTAATGTCACTCCTTACTGCGTGTATTTCTGATGTGAATGGAAAACACGCCCTGATAACAATCGAAAAGTCCGAAATTCGAAGCTCAGCGAGACCAGTTCATATTTTTCACGCCTCTTGATCCGAAATAAAATGCCTCATAGACACTACAACTGTACTAGTCGTTCTTCCAGATGTTTTAGGGTCTATTAGATTGCTGAGTTATGCATATACTTTAGATGTATTTATAGCTTGTTACCTAATGCATAATATCGCATTTAAGCAGTAACTTATTTCCTAAATCACAAGTAGATATGAGACTCGTAAAATATCACGAAAATCTCTGCGCTTAAAACAGTGAAGTCGTAGAACTTCCAATTTTCAAATTAGTCACCTTTTAACTTTGCAAAGTAATCATGGGCTTAAACACAAACCATGTTTGAAATAAGAGATTTTTCGACATCTTAAGCTTGAATATTTCAAATTACTATTAAATAAATGACCAAAAGAGATCTTTTCTAGAAGTTATCTTTCTAAATTACATTAAATATCTGAAATATTACTTACAACTAAAGTTGAAATGTAAATGAATGCAAATGCTAAAATCAGATAAAAAAATTAATTCCCATTCTCTTTTCGTAGGAAATCCCTTGCCTGAAAAGTTATTTGTAAATGGTATAATATCAGTCAATACAGTTTACAGTGTTATGTGAAATGTTTGCGATTAAAAAATTCATTTATCAATAGCTAGCAGTTGCAGCTAAAGAAAAATATAAAAATTGTCTTATGTTTTACAGGTATTATTAAGCAACAGTAGATATAAAAATTTCATCATATCAGGAGAAGGACTTTTTATAGCCTTTCTAGATAGCTAAAGAAACATTAGGTACGTAAAAAGCATAGAGGAAAGAACAGACGCAACAAAAATGTTGATCATCTGCTGTTGTGTAGTTCCGTATCTTGTCACAAGATCCCAATAAATACTAGATTTGCCAAAAGAAATGTGAAATTAATAGTCATGCTATCAAATTAAATTTTTGTGCCTCCTATGATTTTAGAATTTAAAAAATTTACGCATGTAAGAATTATATATTGCATTAAAACTTTTCTTTATCTGACACATCTGTGTCCGCTGTAA